CTGATAGTCAGGTTTGACCCACCATTCCCCAAACGTTTAATTTTCTTGTGTAAAATTCGCGCAATTTTTTTTTCATGAATGAGAGGAGCCAGAGGTGTGGTCTCCCGGGAACTGAAGAGAAAACTGGATTAAAGGCCAGAGTTCTACAAAGCGACCAGGGAAATTACACTTGTTTGGGAGCAAAGCGTAAATATTAGAGCAACAATAATAACAATAACTGCCTGCCGAGAGCCAAAGAGTTTTAGGGTGGAGGATTAAATGTCATGTGCGAATGTTGTGATCGGTGCTGGCAGAGCAACATCAGTGCAGGAAGAGCCAGAGGTGCCTTCTTGCCTAATCCCCTTGGGATCAGTCTTTTTCCCCTTTCTCTGTAACCCTCCAAGCCAGACAACGCGAACCGAGTTATGGGTCAGCATTTCTGCACATACACGCTCCCTTCTCGCACTCATCGCAAACACTGGTGAAAGAAGCGACAGTTTGATCACTTTTTGCATCCCCGATCGGGCCCTTCGGAGCTTAGGGAATCCCCCAGGCTCCCTCCGCGGCGGCTCAGTCGATGACAAAGCGCTGCAGCAGGACTGGGGAGAGCGCGGCTGCTCCTCACTCCGGCGAGCAGGTGGCGGAGAGCCCCGACGGGAGCGCCCGGAGGGTCCGGCCAGACCCGTGAGCATCAAGAGGGGGCGAGCGGCCTCGGCTCCGGCCCCGGCCCCAGTTCAGCCCGGTGAGAGATGCGGCGGCCGCCAGGGCCCTTCCGGAGCCGGGGAAGGGGCAGCCAGAGCAGGACCCCGCGGGGTCTCCTCGCCCGCTCCGCCCGGCCGGGGCCCCTCCAGACACCGCTGCCCCCATCACCTGCGGAGCGAGGTTTGGAGGGTTTGAGGGGAGCACCCCGGGCCGCCCGCCGTGTCAGTGTTTAAAAGATCGCGGAGATATTTTCACACCTCAAACCGCCGCCGCCTTCCCCCCCCCACCCCCCCGCTCCGCCTTCAGCCCCCATCGCCTTGATTTAGCCCTTGGTAATTAATTTGGCATTTCAGAATAGCTACTGGGCTGGATAATGGCCTCATTCATCTCCCCAGCCTAATCTGAACAGAATCTGGAAGAAAAGCTTTCAGAAAGACAGAAACTGCCATTCGGCAACTGCTCAAAAGAACTGTCACTCCAGGGGAATAAATCGCTCCTGATTATTTCAACCCGGGTCTTCTCTGCTTTTCCAGCCGCTCCCGATCCCGCCGGGGAACGGCCCCCCGAGAGCCGAGGAGGGGAAGAGCCGCCCGGATTTTCCCCCCTCCCTTCTCCAAAGCCGGGCCGTGCAGGGGGAGGTGGGCGAGGAGCAGCGCATTGTTCCCGGCGAGGAGGACGAGCTCCGGCACCCGAAGCTATTTGACTTTTAAAACAGGCTCCGAGCGCCGGGGCCGCCTTTCCCGCTGGCCCCGGTGGGGCTGAAATAAAGCCCTTCTCGGCTCTCCGTCACCGGGGCTTCTCTCGGGCCCAACGCGGGGGAACGGGGAGGCTCCGCTCTGCCCTGGACCGACCGTGCCCCGGCGCCGCTCAGCCCCTGGGCCCTCACGGGAGTCGGCCGCGTTCCCAGGGCAGGTACTGGAGGTACTGGAGGTGCTCCGGTCCCGGTGGAAGTACCGGAGATGCTCCGGTGCTGGTGCCAGCGATGCTCCGTCCCTGGTGCAGGTACCGGAGATGCTCCGGTCCCGGTGCGGGTACAGGAGATGCTCCGGTCCCGGAGAGAGAGCGAGCGTGCATCAGGGTCGCAACGGGGCTGGATTCGGCAAGGATCTGTCCCCTTCCGAGCCAGGAGAGGGTCGGGGTTAGCTGGTGCTTAATAACAGGAAAATCAAACCCCAAGGTAGGGGGGCGACCTGTGGCCTGGTACCCCGAGCACCCGCCCTGCTCCATCCTCCCGGGACGGCCCCAGGCCCCTGCCCGGAGCGGGCGGACAGACTCGGGCCCGAGGCTCGGAGAGTTGCGCCTCGGTCCCCGCGGAACTGCTTACACGCATTTAATAGCTCGAGGGCGAGGTAATTAGAGGAGAAAGCCTCAGTAAATCACGTTAATGACCGCAAGAGCCATTACAAACCCCGGGGGTTGTGAAACACCGAATAAACTCAGTGAGAAGGGCAGGAGAGAGGCGAGAGCCGCAGCCCCGGGAACGCCGCCGGGCAGTGCGGGGCCCCGCGCTCGGCAGCGCCGGGTGGTTGTTAAATTAACACCCTGCTAATGGGATTAGGCAGCACTTCGGGTTTGCGGGGGAGTTTAGCGGGAGCCGGGATTTCTTAGATTCGCCCTATTTTTTGCCGTGAGGCGTTAAAGAACCGTGCGGACTTTGAGGGACTGGGAAGGTGGGGAGTGACCTTTAAAAACCTTCCCGGATTTTAAAGAAACGCTGAAATTTCAGCCCTATCCTGCGCCCGGTGCCCGGCGGCATTCCCGGTGCCGCGGCCGGGCCGGAAAGAGGGTCGAGGAGCGTGGGGAGAAACTGGAGCCAAACCCGCATCCTTCCCCTGGAGAAACGCGGGTCCTCGCACCGGCACCTGCTGCGCCCCGAGACGGCCCCGCGTGTCCCCCCCGGGCACAGGAGCCGGTGGCCCCGTGGCTTCATGTCCCTCCCGGGCACAGGAGCCGGTGGCCCCATCGCTTCTCCTCCCCGGCACGGCCCAGAACGGGCGGACGGGGAGTCCCGCAAGGAAGGGCTGGTCCCGGACGTGCGTGGCCGAAGGAGAAGCGCCGGGCGGACAGAGCGGGGGCTCAGAAACGACGAACGGGGATGCTCATGGCAGACACGTGGAAGAATCTGCGGGCCTGAATTTGGAGCTTCCGGCTGGGGATTCCCATCCCGAGTTGTCCGCACAGCCGCGGCCGAGCCCACCCGGCGATGGGGAGAGCCCGCACCGGGCGGCGATGTCCCGGGGCCTCCCGCAGCTCTCTCCCGGCCTGGCCCCCACGGCCCGGGACGGTTTGGTCTAAAGTGTCCCCCTTCCTCCTTGAGGTACCACCCTATCTCAATTACGCAAATAGGTCCTCAATTCAAGATCGGGGGAAAATCTTTCTTCGGGGCTGGGGTATCCCAGGATTGTCCGTGTGTGTCCCGGGTGTGCCAGGCTGCGACTGAGGGCAGCTCGGGTGAGACCAGCGGGACTGGGACCCCCCCCAGTCCTGGGCCGACCGCTTTCCCAATACACACAAACACCCCTCTTCCTCCGGCGAAGGAGCACCAAGAGCCCCGGGAGCGGGACGGAGGGGCTGTTTCCCGGGGAAGAGTTAACAAATCCCGGGAGTGGCGGGGCTGGGGGGCGGGTGGGGGAGATCCGGGGGGAGCAGTGGGGGCAGGGAGGCTGCGGAGCCCCGCTGCCCTGCAGGGAAGGCGGTTGCATTGCCAAAGACGCCCCGCTGGGCTAGCAGGCCCGGGAGCAGATTAATCAGGCACTAATTCAATTTACAACAACCACTTTTATTCAGCTCGGTGGCAAGGAATTCAAAGCGGGGAGAGGGGCGGGAGGAGAGGAGGGGGCGGAGGCCGGCCTGGGGCTCACGGCTGCCCGGGCAGCCCCCGTCCCCTCGGGCCGCCCCGCCGGAGCTCGCCGGGGAGGGGACCGCGCCACCGTGCCAGGGCCAGGCCGCTTGAGTGACACGGCGTGGGCAGCGCTCCGAGAGAGGGCACCTCCGTTGGAAAAATAAAAGTGCCCTTTTAATCAAAGAGAGAGGGAAGGGGGGCGAGAAGGGCGGCCGGGAGCCGCGGGAGGGAAACTCTCCGCTCCCTCGCGGGACCGTCTCTCCGAGATCTCGGTACTGTCCCCTGGGGCTCTGCCCCCGGTCGGGATCACCGGGGGGAAGAGCTGGGACAGAGCTGATCAGGAGGGAGGCGGCCGCAGGGGGCGGCCCCAGGCACTGAGGGTCCGCAGGACAGGCGGGAAGGGGAGACCGGGGCTGGGCCACGGCCCAGTGCGGGACAAGTGCCGCCCTTTAACCCCTTCCTCGCTTTAACGGGAGCCCCGACAAACTGCAAACCGAGGCGGGGGGCGGCCCCTGTGCCTGGGTTGTCCCAGGGGAGACGAGATCAGCCCCCTAAAACAACCTGCCGACGGTCGCCAGGCCCGTTAGTTCCCGTGTAGTGCCCAAAGACTCGAGATTTCTCCCTGTTAAACTTCCCTGGCTTTGGAGTTTCTGTGCCGGGGGCGAAAGCTGCGGGCCGAGACCCTCCAGGAGCCCCCTCGGAGAGGGCCGGTGCCCGGGCGTGCTTCGGGCTCTTCCCCGGCCCCCCCTCCCGGTCCAGCTGAGGGGACCAGTCCCTGTCTGGCCTGGTAGAGAGGGGAGGCCAGCAGCAACCAGCTGGGAGACGTCCCCATCCTGTCCCTCTCGGCGTCCCCACAGGTGGGCGGGGGGCTCCTCCCGGCCGCTCCCCCCCTCTCCCCGCTCCACGCCCACGGAGCATCCCCAGCTGCTGGGGCGGCCCTGGGCTCCCCCAGCCCCGTCGGGGGTACAGAGGGGCGGGGGGGAGCGGGATGGTCCTTCCGCGGTGCTCGGGGCGGCTCGGGAGCCCCGCGGCGGCGCTGGCGCCCATCGCCGCGGTGTCGGGGCGGGCTCCGTCCCACTCCCATCCCCCCCCCCGCCCTCCCCGAGGCCTGTGCGCGTCTCTGGCTGAGCCGCCAGTGGATGTCGTTGTTCTGTTCCTTGAGCGCGATGTCACTCCTTTAGCATGACCTCAAACGCGGCGGGGGCTGGGACCGCCAGTCATTCTCCGTGCGAGGGCCGGGGCGGGAGGCAGGCGGGACCCAGCCCCGCCGCCAGCCCCACTTTTGTGGTGCCGCCGCCGCCGCGGTCTCCCCTTTCTCCGCGGGGCTGGCCGCGGGGCGGGCGATGCTCCGCGCTCCCTGAGCCGCCGCACCGCGTCCCTCGGCCGAGGCGCCCCGCGGAGCTGCGCGCCCGAGCGGCGGCTCCCCCGTGTCCCCCGTGCCCCCTCCCCGCTGTCCCCACGCCGCGCGGAGGTCGCGCAGGATGCCGCGGAGGGGCGCGGAGGCGCCGCTGGCCCTGCTGCTGGCGGCGGCGTGGCTGGCGCAGCCCCTGCGCGGGGGCTACCACGGCGTGAGCATGTTCGCCGTGCAGACAGCCCAGCCCGACCCCTGCTACGACGAGCACGGGCTGCCCCGCCGCTGCATCCCCGACTTCGTCAACTCGGCCTTCGGGAAGGAGGTGAAGGTGTCCAGCACCTGCGGGAAGCCGCCGTCGCGGTACTGCGTGGTGACGGAGAAGGGCGAGGAGCAGGTCCGCACCTGCCACCTCTGCAACGCCTCCGACCCCAAGCGCGCCCACCCGCCCTCCTTCCTCACCGACCTCAACAACCCGCACAACCTGACCTGCTGGCAGTCCGACAGCTACGTCCAGTACCCCCACAACGTCACCCTCACCCTCTCCCTCGGCAAGAAATTCGAGGTGACCTACGTCAGCCTGCAGTTCTGCTCGCCGCGCCCCGAGTCCATGGCCATCCACAAGTCCATGGACTACGGCAAGACCTGGGTGCCCTTCCAGTTCTACTCCACGCAGTGCCGCAAGATGTACAACAAGCCGAACCGCGCCGCCATCACGAAGCAGAACGAGCAGGAGGCGGTGTGCACCGACTCGCACACCGACGTGCGGCCCCTCTCCGGCGGCCTCATCGCCTTCAGCACCCTGGACGGCCGCCCCACCGCCCACGACTTCGACAACTCGCCCGTGCTGCAGGACTGGGTGACGGCCACCGACATCAGGGTGACCTTCAGCCGCCTCCACACCTTCGGCGACGAGAGCGAGGACGACTCCGAGCTGGCCCGCGACTCCTACTTCTACGCCGTCTCCGACTTGCAGGTCGGCGGGCGATGCAAGTGCAACGGCCACGCGTCGCGCTGTGTCCGTGACCGCGACGACAGCTTGGTGTGCGACTGCAAGCACAACACGGCCGGCCCCGAGTGCGACCGCTGCAAGCCCTTCCACTACGACCGGCCCTGGCAGCGAGCGACGGCCCGGGAGGCCAACGAGTGTGTGGGTGAGTCCAGCGCCGCGGCAGAGGCGGGGAGAAGGACGGCGAGAGGGCGCGGAGGTCCCCGGAGGGGCAGGGAGAGGGAGGGCAGAGCGAAGGACCCGCGGGGTACGGGAGCGAAAGGCACGGGGACATCCAGGGACACGGCGAGCGGCGCAGGGACAACCAGGGACACGGCGAGCAGGACAGGAACACGCGGGGAGATGGAGAACAGGGCAGGGTGAGGACACTGAGGTACCGGGGAGCGTAGGGCAAAGGACGGGACGCCGAGGGGCCCAGAAGCGCGGAACGGGGCTGTGAAGGCGTTCGGAAGCGCAGGGGATGGGACACCGAGGCGTCCGGCAGCTCCAGGCAGGGAACGCTGAGGCACCCGGGAGCGCGACGGTGACAATACCGAGGGACGTCTGGGTGCAAAGCAGGGGGCATGGGGAACCGGGGACCGCCGGGCAGGGCACGGCGAGGCACAGGAATTTGGGGGAGGGGATACCGAGAGCCCCGGAGGTGTGGAAGAGGGGAAACCGGAGGCAGCCGGGACAACAAGACGGGGGCACACCGAGGCACCCGGCGGCGCAGGACAGGGAGTACCGGGGGACTCCGGAGCACAGAGCAGGGGACAGCAGGGAACCTCGGAAACGCGAGGCAGGGGACACCAAGGAGCTCAGGAGGGGGGAGAAGAGACACTCAGGAATCCGAGAAAAGGCCGTTCGTGTCCAGAGAAGCGCGGAGGGGCCCTGGCTGGCTGGGGAGGATCTCCCGTCACAGGCAGGTCCCGGTCGGGGGTCCCGCAGGGCACGGCCTGGGGTTCGGTCCGGGGATCCCGGAGCTCGCCGGCAGCCCCGCTCTCTTCCCCGGGACACCGGCGCAGAGACCCGCCGCAGAGCTCGAGAGGCTCCGTGCCCGGACAGGACGAGGACGGGCTCCGGCCTCCGCGGAGGAGGAAAGTGTTTGGGAGCAGGGGAGGGAAACCCGGCAGTGCCTACGGCTGCCGCCGCTGCCTCCCCGAGGGGTGCGGGCGGCCCCGGGAGGCGGTGACGGGGACTTGAATGAGCCCCGAGGCCAAATGAGAACCCGGCAACAGCCGGTTCGTTCCATCCCGGGCGAGAAACTCGCGCCGTTCCTGTCTGTCCCCGAGCGGAGACGGGGTGTCCCTTCGCTTCTGCCAGGGGGGATAAGGGTGAAAGGTTTGAGTTGCTCTTCCTCGAGAGTCTTCACATATCCCGCTAACGATTCCCCGCGATTTTCCATCCCCGCTTCCCAGCGGGAACCCCGTGCGTTGCCGGTCCCCTCCTCGCCGCGGTTTGGGGGGCCAGTGCCAGCCCCTGGCTCAGCCGTGTGCCGGTGGGGACCCAGCCCCGGGGTCTGGGATTCCTCGGGCTGAGCTCGGCTATCCGCGCCGGGACCCCTCGGCCCCGCGGAGCGCGGCTCCGGCCCCCGCCGCCGCCTTGTTTACACGGAAAACACGGCCCCGTCTTCCAAAATATTTGCAGCTCCGACGATAGGAAAAAAACCCTCGCCGAGCGGCCGGGGTTGGGCGCCTTATTTTTTTGGTTTTGTTTTCTTTCCCTTCTTTTCCTTTTTTTTTCTTTCTTTTTTATTTTTTTCCCCCCCAAATCACAATCAGATGTGTCCCTCGCAGAGAGCGCAGTTTCTTCGCCGGCGCCTTCAACACCGAGGCACGGCCGAGCCCGGGGTGTCCGGCGCGGAGGGGGTCCCGCTCCTGCGGCCCGGTGGCACCGGGGCACACGCGATGGAGGCGCCGGGGGAGGCGCGGGGGTCTCGGCAGCGATGCTCGGCCCCGCTCCGGAGCCCCGGCTCCTCCGGGCTGCGGCTCCCGCCGGGACGGGGGAAAGCGGCGGGGAGATGCCGTGTCCCGAGCGATGCCGGGGTTATCTCCGCGTTTGCTTTTCTTCCGTCCCGTGAATCCCCCTGCCCGGCAGCGCTCGGGGACGGGGATCCGCTTCTCGGTTATTTCTTATATTATTCTCTGGGCCGAGGACAGGAGGTGTCCAGCTCCCCCAGCCTCAACCCCCGCTCACGGGCTGGGACGAGTTCCCTGCCTGCAGTTACCGCTGTCAGCAATGCCATAAATTTTGGTGCGATCTCGGGGTGCTATCGGACCCTCGGTCTACTCTACGGGGTCCCCAAATGCTCCTGAAAAATGCTTCAGTTATTGTGCTGGCCCCGTGCTCTTACCATCCTTCTCCCTTCCAATTTATTTCCAATAAAAGGGAAACAAGTTCCCAGTTTCCAGTAAAATGTGTCACTTTTATGCCAGGCTTTGCATTTCAGACCATGAGCAGTCTCAGCCGCGTCAGACTTCTGCAAACGAAAATCGCTCTGTTTTTTCCTTTTTCACCGACTTTGCTGGGAAGTGAATGTTTTGCAAGGATGAAGGTACCGTAAAATAATTTTCCACAGCCCTATCCCGGTGCGCCGTTCCCTGGGGCCGTACCTATCGCTCTCCAAAACCAGCCACGGCCAAACAACCGTGTTGCCCTGCCAAGCCCACACTGCCTGGAATAATCCCCCCAGATAAAGATCACAATAACCCTATTCAGCTCCCACCCACTTGTTCATGACCATCAGCCCACCCTGGTTTCTCTCCTAAATCCCAGAGAAAGTCAGGCCCTGCGGTCAGCGGGGGCTGTGGACTCGCCTGCACCGGGCAGGGGCAGGGGATGAGCGGGGAGTTGGTGGTGATGCTGCCGGTTGCACGCTGGAGGCATCTCCCACCGCTTGAGAGGGAAGGCAGAGGCGGCCAAACCCTGCTGAACAGCCGTGCTGAAAGAGTAGGTCAATTAGCCAAATTAGCTAATTTTGCCTCAGGTAGTGGTGTGAAAACTAGTTACAATTTTTTCATCAAATTTATTTTTTTCCTTTCTGGAAAATCGTTGGGGTTTTTATTTTTATTTTTATTTTCATCCAGGGAGAAAAATTATAGAATGTGTCTGCTTTGCTTAAAAATTTGGGTGTTTTCTTTGGTAAGTCCATTCCCCCTGCCAAAACTGAATCTTTGTTCCTATTCATGCTTATTTGGTGCTGAAAAAGAAATGCACTGCAGTTTCTGACAGAAAGTCAAAATTTCCCACGGGAACATTTTTTGCCAGCCAGATCTAATTTTTCTTTATCGCTTCTTGCTGCCTGCGAGATCCCAGCACTGCCCATGGACGGGACAGGTCTTGTCCCGAGGAGATGTTCTCCAGGATCTGCTCCTGCAGAAGGAACCCGGCCAGCAGAGCTTTTCACAGATTCAGGTTCCCATCAGCTTTACCTGGCAAATAATTCATCCACGTAGAGCTTGGCTTTGCAGTCCAGCTTTGGCGGAGTGCCTGGGAGCGAGCGCGCTCCAGGGAGGACACAGCTTGGAGACAAGCTTGGAGGTCTGTTCTCCATCCTCCCCCTCTCCAGTGCCGTTGGGCTGGCTCTGTTTGCTCAGCGTTGGTCCAGCCCAAGCCTCCTGTCTCCAACCCGGTTTGTCCTGATGAAGCTTCCAGCTCCCCTGGGAGGCGAGACTGCAGCTGGAAAAGGCTTGAACTAAAAAGTTGTCGGAGCTCAACTGCTGGTGAGCTGGTGTGGACACATGAAAATGCAGGCAGGGGCTTGGACCAGATTTAATGACATCACTAAAATGACACCATTCCACAATTTCTCAGGAACAGCGGTGCCATTTCAAGTGCTGGAAATTAACCCCGACAAGCACCTTCCCTTTAGTTTCCATAAAATACCTTTGCATTTGGCCATATAAAGCACTGCTGGACGAACCCAGGGCTGCAGCCCGCTGACAGGCACTTGGAGAACGGCCTCCAGACTCTGTTCCCAGTGCTGGCTCTGGTTCTTCCCAGCCCATTCCCCCGTGGGGCCCGGAGATGCACCCGCCACCTGCACGTGTGTCTGACGTCAGCAGTGTCTGCCTCTCGGATTTTTGGCCCTCTGTGATGCCTAGAGAGTGTTTAACAAAACCAAGTGTGAGCACAGTGAGAGAAGGGAAACATATTGTGTTTTCAGATAGGGGATTTGGCACAGGCAGCACAGGGAGCCTGGTGTTAGACAGGCTCTGCTCCGTGGTGTGCGCTGCCGTAGGGTTCCCAGGCTGGGATGTGTCTCATGTCAGAGCAATTTCCGAGCAAGTTTCTCATTCAGCTAAAAGGAAACTTAGTGTCGGACAAGGAGTTGACCAGGAACTATGAGAGAACAGCCTGCCAAACACTCCCAGTGAAAAACTTCCTTCCAGACAAACCTGGGGCTTTATCACCTCCGAGGTGGTCCAGGGATGTATTTGCAGGGCAGTGCTTACTAAAATAGCTAACAGGCTCCCTCCACCCTAATCACAGCCAGGGAAATCACATCCTCCCACAGCAGCGAGCTCCTCTCGCTCTGCTCCCACAGAGGGATGTAAGGACTGCAGGATTTCATTCCAGGGAGTTCCTGGTGTCTCTTATTATGTTTAGTTGATCCCTTTTCTTTCCCCTGCATTAATCAACTCTACCTGAAAAGCCTTCACGGTTCTCATCCTGTCTTTTCAACCATTTTCCCCAGGGTTGGCAGAGTGGGTAATCCCATTGGATGATTCTTTCCCATTCCCTTTGGCCTTCAAATGGGATGAGGAGTCAAGCTGGTGGTGACTGGTGGCTGCAGGCATTGTTTGGCTGTGCAAGCAGCCCCAGTGCCTGTCTGCAGGGTCCAGGCACCCAGGGAGCACACGGCAGAGCGGGGAGTCAGGGCAAGTCCTGCACCTCCGATGGGTGACAATAGTTCACAGTGGACAAAACCCATCTGACCAGGAAGAACTGGGCTGGTTGGAGATGTCCTTTCTGTCTTCTCCTCTCCTGGGGTGATCAGGGCTTTAGAAATGGTCTGTCCTGGAGGGGAACAGAGGGAAAGAGGCTCTGGCTGCAGCAGTGGGAAGTGTAGTGTGGGTAGGACTGGAAGAGCTGACAGTGACCTGGTCACACAGAGGCACATCCACTGCACCCGCTTCCCCTTCAGTTCTGGGCACCGTGGTGGGA